CTGCGCCCCTTGAGGTGTACATCGTACCAGCCGGTTGGAGGAGTGGATGTTTATACTACTGACGTGGTGGCGGCGCGGACGCCGAGGACTGTGGAACTTCCCTCGCAGGCAGCGCCAGCGACACCAGGGGCTTCGCTCGCAGGCCTGTCTCCGCTGTTAGTTGCGGGGATCACCAGGGAAGTCTCTCCGTTCCCACCCACGGCGCCGACGCAACTCCAGCTCTCGCGCCCGTGGCCGAGGCCGCACGTGGTGGATCATCGCGAGCAAGAGGAGCCCGCCGCCGATGCAAGCCCCAAGGTCAAGGTTGCGACGTGGAATGTGTACGGCGGTGCGGCTCCGGGTGATCCTGAAGACATCGATGGCGTCCTCTATGGCCAGGGGGTCCATGTGGCGTCGCTTCAAGAGACTCGGATGCCACGGCAGGTGCTGAGGACGGAGCATTACACCTGGATTGTCGAGGGGGTCCCGAAGAAAGGGGGCAGGGATGTGGCGCTGCCTGGGTTTCGCTTCCGCAGTTACACTAGGGCACACGACAACGTGTTGCTGGCGGAGGTGGAGCTCGGGGGGCACTTGTTCACCGTGGTGGCGGCGCACGTCCCTGCTTACGGGGTGGCTGGGCAGCGCAGCACTTTGGCGGCAATCCACGCATGTCTCCTGGCTGCCCAGGCTAGGCAATGGAAATTGCTGCTTGGTGATCTGAACACGCATTTTTGCCAGGCTGACCGGCGTGGGGACGAGGCTGTCCCACCCCCGGACGAACCACTCAGCGGGAGCGGTGTTGGCCATGGCCCGGACGCTGAAGCTACACGGATCGTCACCACCTGGAAACAGGCGAAGGGCTGCAGCTGGACCTGGCACCCGGTGAAGGGGTACTTGGCGTCATGGCCCGCAGGACTGCCCCTGGCCCGGATGGGCTACCGGTGGAGCTCTTTCAACAGGCCAGTGAGCTCTTCGTTTTGCACCTGACGGCGGTGATGGCTGACGCCTGGACGTCGGGGACCTTCCCGGGGGAGTGGCTGACCTCTGCTCAGCACCCCCTCCCGAAGGTGCGACACCCGAGGACAACGGAGGACTACCGGACCCTCTCGTTGTGCTCGGTGAGCTACAAGGTGCTGGCACCTGGCACTCCATCTGCTGGCCCAGCTCCAGGAGGCGGTCCCACCGATCCCCTTTTATCATGCAGGGTTTCGGGCGCGGCGGTCGACGGATGACCAGCTGTACGTGCTGCGGGCGGTCATGGATGCCTGCTGGCATGTGGCACGTTCGCTGCACGTCGTCAGCTTAGACATCGAGCCTGCCTTCCCGTCGGTCGTCAAGCAGAAGGTCGTGGACATCCTTCTAAAGTTGGGAGTCGACACCTACCTGGTGAACAGGGTGATCGCGCTGGCGCTCACAGACTTCACCTTCCTGCGCTGGGCGGCGGCAAAAACATCGACGGTGGAGAGGCGGCTGGGACTGCGTCAGGGGTGCCCCATGAGACCTTGGCTATTCACCCTTGTGCTGCAGCAGGAGCAGGACAACATCGACGTCATCCCGGCCGTCTTGGCGTATGCGGACGACCTGCTGGTGATGTCCGACGAGTTCCCGGATCTGGACCACATTGTGGCAGAGTTGGCCCGGGACCTGGCGCTCCTAGGACTTCACCTAAGTCCGGCCAAGTGTGAATACTTGCTACGCTGGCCCGGGTGGGAGGACCCGGAACCGCTCCCCCGCCCGACGGTGCTGGGGGGCCTGCAGGTGACGAGAGTCGATTCCTTAATCTATCTTGGTGCACTAATCTCCTCTCACCTGCCCAGGGGCGACGCAGTTCACCATCGGGTGGGAAGAGCTCAGCGGACGGTCGCCGCAATCCTACCGCTGCTCCGAGATCATTCATTGCCTCACTCCGCCCTGGAGCGGCTCTACGCGGCGACGGTAGTGCCGGCAATGGCATATGAACGCTCTACGGCCTCGGACACGCAGGCGACGAGGGCATATCTGCGTCGTGGAAATTACATCTTATTACAGGCTGTCGTGGACACGGGCAGGCGCCCGCACCTGGCAGCGCCTCAGATCAGGCGATCCTACTCGGTGTCCAACACCCGAGCCATACGGCGGGCGAGGATAGGCTTCTAGGGGCACATCAGTGCCCCAAATGCTTTGCATTTCTGGCAATTAATTGCATCTTTCTACCTGCCCTTTGCTTGATGTTAAGGAGGGGGTGTTACTTGCCCAGCTCTGACGGGGCCGCCCCACCCCCTCCCTGTACCTTACCCCTTCCAGGGAACTTGCGCTATTAACCAGCACACACGAGTTTAGCACCACTGACCCTCGGTTGACGCGCGTGGAGTGCGCCGATGGGCTCCTCTGGGTTTGTGCGACGTTCGCCACCCTACACAGGGGCTGGTCTTTGCGAAACACTTTTTTTCCAGGCGTGTCCCGGGGTCCCGTGCCAGCGGCTTCGCTAAGCCCTGCCCCACCCATGGATGGCTCTGTTAAGGGCTGCTCACGGATGTGGTGAAGTGTCGATGGCATAATACTGGATTGAGGCGGTGGCCTTTGCCTCGTGGATACTACTATCTATCTATCTAGAACAGAGGTCTCAGACTGTGACGTCACGCGGGCCGCACGAATCGGACCTCTCACTCGCACTCACTGCGATCACATAGCTCCATCTCTCTCCAGTGCGGCCCTTGCGGCCCGCGGGCCGCGTGTCTGAGACCCCTGATCTAGAATGCTCATCTTCGAGGTCGACCTGCCTTTTAATGGTACAAAACGACCCTGAAAATCCCAGGTCGCAGGTCGCTTGCTTGATAGGGTGTTCCAGGCTATCTATCGAGGGTACTGTGCGTTGGCTGCTGCCGTGCTCCGCTCTCCCACGCCTCCGGCAGGTGAGTCGGGCGAGCCGCTGGAGCCGGCAGTCAGTCTGCATGGAACGCGCTATTTTCCTATAGCCATCTCTCTCACGCGACACTCATCGAGGCGACACTTATCGACAGTCCACTATTGCTACATGTACGCTGGACCACGTCTCGCGTAACAGGGTTCGCGATATCTTACGAGACCCTGACACTGTCACTCTGCGACGCACCTGGCGCGCACACAGCAAGGTCTGCGGCGCCGACACCCAAGACGAGTTAATAAGAGTGTATGCGAAAATGGGGCCCCCTGGCCCAAAAATTTGACGTGCTCACAGCAATTTTGACATATTGTTATGCAGAAATCGACGTTTTAGTGATACTAGATAATCTAGGGACCCTTGAGCCCAAAGGAGGGTGTGGTTCGACGCCAAATGTGTGGTTTGGGTATTACTTCCTTGCATTTTTTTTTCAATATGAAGCTTTTCTTTAGCGATTTAGATCATTATGTCATTTTCACCTTATTTTCGACAAGACATGCCCCCTAGCAACCGAACGGTGCAAGATAGAGCGAAACGGATGAAATTTTTGTCAGTAGGGTTCTACTTCGGCGAGTTATCACTTAGGAACCCAGATTAAAATGTTGTCGAATAACGTCTATTTTAGGGCCTGTTTTTGATATATTTATTTTTTTAATCCAATTTTTGAGCTAGAATGTTAATCTTTGAACTTGATCTGTCTTTTCATTGGCTGAGCGATTAGCAAAGCCCATCACTCCACTGACCGAAAAAGTTTCATTCTGTTTGTTTGTTTTTCTGCACGATAACTCGAGAATGAATAGGGTGTTGCAGGCTATCCAAAACGGAAGTAGGAAAAGAACAAACTCACTGACTTTGCTGTAGCCGTAACGGCTCTGATTGGTCGTCCCGATAACGTGCCACAACGGCCTGTCTAGTATGGAAAACTGCCAGATCAGTTTCGAGCTCCCCTCCATATTTAAAAGGTTAGAACCGGATCAAATAACTACCATGGTACTTTCTCATACTGAACATGCGGAAACAGATAAGTCAGTGAGTTTGTTCTTTTCGACTTCCGTTTTATATAGCCTGGAACACCCTATTGAGATAGGGATCCGGGAATTTTAGGGTCGTCTTTTGATGCCGAACCACTCCCCCTTTTAGGCTCAAGGGTCCCTAGATTATCTAGTATCACTATAACGTTGTTTTTTCAGAACAATCTGTCAAAATTCGAACTTTTAATGAGAACCTTTACCGAACAGTAGAAGTTCCATTTCCCTCATTTAAGAGTAATAATTCCCCAACAAATGCTTTACGTCATATTTTGGGGCCGGTAGGCCCTGTTCCCGAATGCCCTCCGATTAGCCCGTCGCGCGTGTCAGCGCCGAGCGCGTCGCAGCGTGTTTCGTGAGCAATCGCGAAGCCTGTTACGCGAGACGTGGTCTGGCGTAGATATAGCTAGTGATAACAAGCGACCCTCAAATCCCAGATTGCTATCTCAATTCTTTTTCGAGTTATCGTGCGGACAGACAGAGTGAAGTTTTTTTGGTTTGTGGGGTAATGGGTTCGCTAATCGCTCAGCCAATTAAAAACATTACATGCGATATGCGCGATTTCCTTGTTGTGTGCAGGCCTGCAGAATCATTTCAATTGTCCATATTTACGTTAAAAAATAATAAAGATGCTCTTGAGGCTATTAGTTTCCAATTTGTTAAGGAAAAAATATTTTATTTAAGTTTCTTAACCAAAGGTCTTGCAAGGGAAAAACAAACAAGGAATTTGTATTAAATAAAGCATTCCGGTAAAGCTGAAATGCAGAAGAATGCAGGGAACAAGAAAACGGAAGTCACCATGTTAAAGCATAGCGATATCCGGTTTCTTCTTCCCCGCATTTTTCTGCATTTCAGCTTTACCGGCATGCTATATTGTACATAAGCTATGTACTATTTTAAGTTGGTGAGCAGGATTAGAACCAGTTTCAGTTTCACGTAAGCTACAGTCTTTTTATACGTAAATACGCATGCCGAAATATGTGCATAAGCTAGGCATAAAACCATGCGTACTTATGTACAAAAATCTACAGAGCCTCTCAGTGTGTCGTTACCCCCTCGCTGGAAAAATACTGATGCTTCTGTTTCTGTTGCAGGGGTTATACAGCGTAAATAATGAACCAATTTCCTGGAGACTTCCAAATATCCCAGCACTACCATATGGTAGTTACCGCATATGGTGCAAAATGGGTCAGATCTCCCAGGAAACTGTAAGCTGTCAGCTGTGTCTCGAGGTCTCCGCAAACCCTGAAATGACCCTTTAAGGCGTTTACACCGCTCGAGTTGCAAGCGAAATCCACTAGGGCTCGCCACTGTCGGCAGCGCAGCGGCTAGGCTGGCAGAGTGGCTGCCGACGGCCGCTGCCAGCTCGGTGCGGGAGGCTGTCATAGTTCGTCAAACATCACAGGATTCCAATAAGTGAATAGACTATGCAGGGCTACTGGCTGGACGCTACCTGGACGTGGACGTGGCCGAGTCGGCCGATTGAAGTCGCGGGAACAAAAGGTGTCCCCCTCCCCCTCTCCTCCGAAGCGCTGCACCGCTGCAGCGGGGTGCGCTGTGCTTAGGACGGCGGACTGGACAGGCGAGCGAGCGCGGCCTGGGCCGGGGCTCCAGCCAGCGGCTCACAGCTAAGTCCTGGGAGTCGATCCCGTTAAAAAATTTACTCACTTCAAGATATATGCTAGGCTGATTTCGGAAAAAGAAGAAAAAAAGGAAGAAAGTTACAGTAAGGACTATCACTGTTTCTTCGTTGCTTTAGAACAATGTGAATGATTAAAAGATTAGAATTTGAATGTCAATTTAAAACTCTGACAAAGAGACAAATTTAGGAAAAAAATAACCAGAAAATGGACTTTAAATTTTCTCTTTTGCCTTAGTGTAGCGTAAATATAGTATGAAAGGAAATGAAATGTCAAGATGTCAGTCTTACATTTGTTTTATTTAACAACTTAGACTTAAAAAACATAAAAAAATATTTCTCAGGCTGTAAGTCTCATGATAATTTGATCAAGAAATCCTGAAGCCATGCACACATTTGTTTTTCGGGGTTACCTAATTGATTTAACCAAACTTCAAACAAGTCCGATTTATTCAATCGGATCCATAAAAACAAATGTGACTTGGCTTCAAGTTTCACAAGCATAAATTGATCATAAAACTAAACCTTGGTCACACAAAACAAAAAAATACAGCTTGGAACACATTATGAGGATGATCCGGAAGTTGATGCTGCAGCCTCGAAGGTTTGAATGGCGTTCGATTTGGTTTGATTAACAGCTGTAAAATAGAAGTGACGCATAAGGCAAAGAATTTTTAAAAAAATATT